GGCAGGGGATCCCAAGGCCAAACTGGCCTCAGCCCACCTGTACCAACCCTTCACCTGGGGAACAGCTACTGCTGACCCACGGCAGCGGGTGAGTGTGCCCCCACGCCCCCGTTAGGGTGACCCCGCTCTTCTTTCCGACACCACTTTCTTTAATATAATTTCTTACTGACATTCACTTCCATCTCTCAAACATTACCGGTAGCTGGCCCAGAGGAAGGGCAGATGTCATTAAGCTTCTCTTTGCTGATATTTTACCCTGTGCCTGTCATGGGGCAGAGGACAACCTGCCTGCTCAGGCAGCTGACTAAGTCCAAGCTCTCCACGTGGCTGTTTGCTGGCGATGGAAGAGGACTGTTCAACTCGGGTGGTGGTTGCCCAAGCAATTGTTCCAGAGAAGGATTACTGCAGGGGCAGGTATTATACTTCATCAGAAAATAACTGACTAAAAAAACCCATATCCTGCTCAGGAAGGTACCCATTTTCAACAAAACTCTTAAACGCAGCACGGCATTTCAAATGCTAGTTCCTCTGCAATACCAAATGTCCCTGGTGCTCAGGGCTCGTCCCGGCGAGAGCCACAGTGCCTGTCTAACCCCAAGCAGGCGTGGTGCTCTCAGCTGCTTTGAGGAAGGTCTCTCACTTTGGATGAATGATGCCAACAGTCCTGGCTTCATTCTTGTGCAGAACTGGCAAGACTTTTAAATTTAAAAATGTTAAAGAGAGCAGAATATAATTTACTGATTTTCTCCTGACACATGCTGCAGTCAGGCTGTGAGAGCTATTCCCAATATAGCCCCATGTTGACAAGTCCTGCCTCTGCCTAGCAATCCTCCTGGGGGGGGCTGTTTTGGAGGTTCATGCACATTGTTCTCCTCTAACTACGTGGCCCAGAGCTGCAGCTAATCTCCCTCCCATAGACGGCAGACCCTCTTCTTCAGCTAATCTGTCTCAAACCTCTGCATCACGCAGAAACTTGCTATCTCTGCTCTATGCTCTAAACTTCTGAGAAGCAATGCTGGGGAATACAAGTCCCGCCCAGCGGCCCCATGCCTTGTAACTTGTCTTTCCCTGCTCAGTATTAGTTAGCTCTTCAAATATTATAAAAGAGCAAAGATGCTGCCAATGCTTGCAATGCCTGCATATAAGACTTTCTGTTAAAAATTGGTATTTTTACCCTCATTAGGATTCCTTAGATCCAAATTAAAGAGGTGGTATCAATAGTGACTGCACTCTGTAGTTAACAATCCCAGGTATTTGTAGACATATTTTTCAGGATTTTAAAGCAATTTGTTCAAGCAGCCAAGAAGCCAGAATGGAGCTCATTATAATTAGAATAGTTGCCACTAAAATTCAACATTTCCCTGCAAAACTATACATTCATCACATTTGTTCCATGCTTCTAACACGAGGGGAAAACGATCTCATTTTGTGGCAGACAGGTCCAGAATGGCACACTGGAGTGTCTCCTGTCCAACAGCTGGGCTTCTACATTATTTATAACTTCTATACATCAGCATTCTCCACCCACGTTATGTCACGTCATTACAGCCAAAATTATCTCATTGGCATACTAAGGCACTACTTTAACAGGTGATAGTTTTTTAATCCTAAATTACTCTATAAACCATAACAAATATCTTACCTGTCTGAAAGAACTGGCTTTTTGTTTTATTTTATATTGGCTTACCTGAAAGAATTGACTTTTCATTTTATTTTTTCTTACAGTATTTTTGGTCCTGAAAGTATGTGAATCAAAATGTTAACGTCTAGTTAATCTCTAAACCTATTTCAATTAAGTCTGAAAAGCAGCATGACCTACATCTTTTCCTAGTCAAAAACAGGCTAAGATATATTCAAGAGGGTCTTTTTCAAGGCTGGAGGAGTTCTCACTCTTCCAGGTACTTCATATGTTACATGAAGAAGCAGCAGAACAATTTTCTTTAAGAAAAGGAAATGCTATCGTAAAAACAACTTAAATTGCCAGGCCTCCACCCACTCTTTTCTCAGACAGGGGTATCACTCATCTTTCAGCCTTCCCCTTCTAAGCGGGTTGCAGAGCCACTTCCCATGGCTGTAACACAGAGAACAACACATATTGCAGCCCTGAAAAAGGCAGGGAGAAAATGATCAGCCTCCTGTGCTTCTTAGGACAGTTCCTTATTAGAAAATCAAAGCAGGATTTCTGATTTGCTCAGAGATCTAGCGATGCATTGCACAAATTCCTCCAAATGTCTGAAACATTAACACAAGACTAAGATAGGATAGGATAGGACAGGACAGGACAAGACAGAAGAGAACAGAATAGACTAGACTATTTCAGTTGGAAGGGACCTACAATGATCACCTCATCCAACTGCCTGACCACTTTAAGGCTGACCAAAAGTTAAAGCAATTAAGGGCATTGTCCAATTGCCTCTTAAACACTGACAGGCTTGGGGCATCGACCACCTCTCCAGGAAGCCTGTTCCAGGGTTTGACCACCCTCTCGGTAAAGAAATACTTCCTTATGTCAAGTCTGAACCTTCCTTGAGGAGCCTTGGTTAAATTATCTTTTGGCTTGTTTGTGACCATGGACACACACTTTGGTTCACATGCATGCAGCAATATACAGAAATCTTTTTCCTTTGGGCTTGCTCGCCCTCAGTTTTGCTGCTCTTTTCCAACCACACTGCATGCCTTTATTTATTTCCTTGGACAATTAGTGCTATAACAGTTCTGCCCCTACAGCAACAGCCACATGGTTAGAGACGTCCTCCAAGCGTAAGCTGCCAACACGTCTGCTTCACGTTAAACGGAGAAAGGTACCGCAGGAATAACCCAGGTAGTGAACATGCCCTTTCCTGCTGGTCTTCCCAGCATAAGCCAGCGTCATGTTTGCATCTGCCCAGGGATTTGCCTACACTGTCCTGCTGATCCCGGTAACTGGATGTGCACACGATGATGAAACTTAGCCTAATTTGCCACACACAAAAAGTAAGTCTTGTAAGTGAAACACAAAGCTGACAGATCATTTGTTGTCTTCAAGAGATGGCATGAAATACGTTAGCAGAATTCCCACATCTCATCCTGTGCATATATCCATGCAACAGAATTAAACAGTAGAAATTAGCATCTTTCACTAACTTTGATTAAATAGATTTTATTTGAGTGAAGAAAGGGAGCAAGGTATGAATTGATGAAGGGTCACACCTGTTCATAGAGCAATTCCAAGACAGTTTCATTCAGAGTCTGTCACAGCTTCAATGCCATTTCCATCTCTGATTAGAAGCAGCGCCTGTTTTCCACATGCGAAACGGCTAGACTTTTGGCTCTGGGGTGCACAGATTAATACACCTGCTCTCCTAGCTGATTTTTGCTCTGGCTACTGATTAGCCAGCCTCACATCACCTCTGCATGGTGGAAATAAAGTAGACCTTGATTAATAGTGGACCTGATGCATCAGGAGGTGGGTATGTGCACCAGTATTTAACACAGCATGTGTATTGTTCTATGTAGGAAAAAAAGAGCTCGCAGGCTTCCTTCCTCCTGCCCTCTTCAATTCCCCACTGAAGTTTATACATTCTCCAGTTTTCTAAAGAAATAATAAACTTGTTGATTTCTGGCCCCAGAAAAGCTGCTTATGCAGAGGAATTGTATGTTCCCTGCTACTTTCAGTTAAGTGTACAGAATTTGGTAAACATAATACAGGAGCTTCTGCTCTGTGGACTGGTGCAGATAAGAACCCAGAAGGAGCTCAAGGATCCAGCAGAGCACTAATCTCTGTTTACAGCCCTTTATAAGTTTATCTGTGTTATTTTAAAAGCAGATTACACTTATACAAAACATTAACATCGTAGCAGATTGAAGTTTCCCAAAATTAAAAATTGCATCCTGAGTCTTCTAAAAACTGTTTAGGTTATAATCAGCATTTAATTAGGTTTATACATCTTTCTGAAATCACCCAAAGCTAGGAATTGATTAAGCAGCCATCAGACTTCTGTGCAAGTGCTCCATATGAATATAATTTGCAGCTGCACTGTGACATGGAAGTAGGTTTATAATCTGCATAAAATTGTTTTCTGCAGGTAACCACTACAAATCACAGATACTGCTGTACATAAAAGCTGTACAAGTGAGCAGTGAATTAAAAGCAAACAAGGATTGTGCTATGACGACAAAGCAGAACCCAAAGGACATGAAAGACACAATGACGTGTGTTTATATGAATGGTAATAGCAAAACAGCATTAGAATTTAACACGTATTCATTTTTCTGTTTTTCTTTTGTTCGCAACAACACAGCCAGTGTAACACATCCGGACACTTTTAGAGACAATTTTGAACTGACACAAAAAATACCTATGCCCACCATCCATGCATCCACAGTACATGATGCACTTATTTCAGCGTGGACCTTTCTTTGGACTACCCCAGGCTCGGGGTTCCCACACTGTGAGCATTCACGCTGCCTTTCAGATGAGGATCCCACTGTGTTTGCCCTGCACACCCTGGTAATGAAACAATACTTCTCAAGACAGCTTTCACAGTCGCCGAGGGATAAACAGTGATGCTTGATGCTCACCTTGAGCCATACCACAGCCCCAGGTGTCCCTGGCTGCCTCTTCTCCTAAGGCTTTCAGGCAAGCCGGCACCTTGACACCACTAACCAATACAGAGTAGTGACTTCCTGCTGCAGTTTAGCATCAATTTAACAAAGCCAATTAAAAACCTCTCTCCAGTTAATCTCGTGCAACCTCCTCTGCAGACCAAGCTCAACAAAGCACTACTGGGGATAGATGAAAGAAGCTGTAAGAAGGGAGGTCACGCTCAGCTTCTCTGCTGCCTCACCTTTCGGGAACATTAATTCCCCAAAAGACGGGCAAGTTCAAGGAAAAGCCCTCACAACCCACTGGCATCACGTCCTCTTCAGGGGCATCCCTTTAAAATGCATTTTCAAGGAAACCTCTTTCCAAAATTTGTTCAACAAACTCATTCCATCCCACTGTATTTTAATAGTCTTACCTGTAGAAGCCTTGGTTATCATATGCCATGTTAGTCACATCATCAAATACAGGTTTATTCCTGAGTTTCTTATTGTTGTTGTTATTGTTTCTTCCCTTAAAACCAAAGTAAGCAGCTTGCATGTGCTCTAGTTCTTCGGTTCTGAGCTGGTACCACAGCTGCATATCTCTGTGAATAAAGCAAGGGGTAAAATACATTACTGTGATAAATGGCTGCATATCTGAGCTTTTATCTGACCATAGCCCTGACTCCCTAGAGTTTAAATCTAAATCCAGGTTTACTGAAGACAGCACTTAAACACATGCTGAACTTCAAGTGTAAGCAAAATTTCCAGAGACCTAAATACCTGCTTAAACACCTTAAGGTGGGGGGTTCTTAAAAAGCATAAATATTTTTCTGTAAAATAGTGCTATTTTAAGTATTATCCAGCACTCCTCAGAAAACAAGCAAACAAACAAAAAGAGCAATTTTCTTATGAGCACCTGTGGATAGTTCAAAGGAACAAAACCCCAATAATTATGTTAATTTGATTCAGTGGATTTTGAAAGTACAGATAATAGGGAAAGTCACTTAAGATGTGATGTTGTGTCAATGTTCTCAGTGACCTCCATCAGTGACACACATCAGGCCAGATCCTGTTGTACGTGAAAAGACTACAGACCACCCGCATTTCATGGAATAAATTATTTCAGAAAAAAGAATATTTACTGTGAATTTTTGCAGCACTGCCATTCCTAAGGGTTCAAAAATCATCAGGCAGGTTGAAAAGATGAATTTACTTCAAAATGGAGGAGACAGGTAATGTTGCCTTTGTTAAGAGCAGGGCTTATTCGGTTGCCTTCAGGATTTCCTTTCGGAAATGCTCAAGGCACTTTTCATGCTGTTCTCTACAACTCTGGGGGGAAAAAAAGACAATTTCTTTTCTTCTTTTTAAAAGAAGTCTAAGATTCACACAATCACAGACATTCACACTAGCTGATGGGACAAGATTAAATTGTGAGGGTTGGCGATGCTGATTTTGGTGTCATTTCTGTCCTCTCAGGATGCAATCCTGCTGCTACCAAAGAAATTGGCAGTTACGCTCATGCAGTGGACAAGGTCTGCGAGGAGGCTAAAATACGTGAGGATCTTCAGCAGCCTTTGTCCTTTTTCTCTCCAAATGCAAGGATAAAACATAAGATGGCACTTCAAAGATCATCAAACAGGTACCTTGCAAGACAGGTTTGTAGGCAGAGCTGATCTTTTCTAGTAGACCAACTAAAAGAGCCAAAAAAAAGTAGAAAGGCAGACTTCAAAGCTAAAGGCAAGATGACGACATCCTCCTTACTCCACAGGTACAGGCTACCTTTTCTTTCAGAGATGGTCTAAGACACACTTATTTAACTAATCCCCTACTGAGTATTCTCATTTTGTATTAGGTTATCAAGCCTGCAGCTTCTCTTCAGATTAATGCTTTGTGCATCCAAAAGTCAATCCACGTTTTCCACCGACATCAACAAAAGAGATGCTACCACTGGCTCTGGCACTCTGCAGCACGGGTTGAGCCAGTTTCATACAGGGATGCGTTACTCTTTCTCGCATGACATAACAGTTTCTACATTGTCTCAGTTGCTTTCTGACAGCCGGGCCAAGCCACACTATGCCTATAGTGCCCCCAGGAGTGGGGCTCAGTCGTGGATGGGCTGCGTTGGAGCAGCTCTTTCAGGAGGCAGTGAAGGGAGGACAGAGGGCAGCAGGAACTGAGAAGCTCCCAGCAAAGGGAATAATTTTATGTTCTGATGACAGAACCAGGTCAAAACGTCCGGTGTGAAGGGCTTTTCTTTTTTAAGAGAAAAATATCAAGTCATCAAAGTCATGTGAATGGCTAATTTTGACAAAACTTCATTTAAAATAAATGAAAAACAAGGACTTTGATATGAATAGTCTTATCAAAAGAAAAGCAGTGATTCAAAAAATGCCAATCAACTCCTTCATTTCAAAAAATTTCATGCTATCAGTGAAAACCTAACATTACGAATGACACCAAAGACTTTATTTTTTGCCTCACAAAATCCTTTCAAGGGAAATAGAAAATCTGTATTTTGGTTACAATCAGATTTTGAAATGACAGAATTTCCCCCCTGAGCTGGTTCCCATGCAGCTCTAGATAAAACACAGCTCAGAGCAGAGAGACTTTCACTCGTGTCCTCCCCAGTCTCCCTCTACTCCACCACTACCCCACCTCACTCCAAACACTTCTCTGAAGCAAAAAGAGGCTTAAAATCAACCAGAAGTGCAGCTTACTGTCTGCACAGCAGGCATCAGTGGGACGGGGTGCAGCCACCCCACCGAGCTACGTGCAGCAGTGGGAACAACGAGCAGGAAAAGCAAGAGGGAAGCGACGAAGAGGTGCCAAGGGAAAGCCCTCTGCAGCAGGTGACTCTGGATGGATGCTCTCATGAACAACAGTGGCTCAGCTTTAGTGTACAGCCAGATGTGGTCGTGCAGCCACGCTTCGCACTGAGTTTTTCTAATGGACTGGATTGGTAAATTTTACTTCTTCCCATGCCTGTTTATAATCCTGCCTGCTGACTTGCGCTTCAAGCCAGAAGACAAAATCCTATGTTCTTCCAGCACAGCATTGTGACAGCTTTAAGTATGCTTTGCAGATGGTGAGGGCTTTGATGGTTTTGACACGGGTAGATTGACTTTCCCAGCAGTATCCAAGGAAAGCAAAGGAAAAAAGGAAAGAGAGAGAGAAGAAGGGAAAATGCAGCCAATCTTAAATAATTCAAGGAGAAAAAGACTGGCCAGCAAATAAGACTGGTATGTTCAGCTTCTGCATAATCCTGGGTAAATCCAGATCTGCCCAGGCCCACCAAGGTCATCTGATATTAACAGGCATTTGGTGCCTAAATACTCTTGAATTCCAAGTCTTTCTGTGCCTAAAGCCTGACCTACAAATTAAGGATTTTAAGTAATTAACATCATTGCAGTGTTGCGAGCACCAAGTCCTTTGAAGCTCTCTGCTATCACAGCAATGGGGTCCATACAACGTACAGTCTTACGCCAGTTTTAAAAATCTTTTCTTGACATACCTTTGAGTCCTCCTCCTTTCACTTTTCTTCACACACTTGATAAGACAACAAGTTAAAAAAGCCATGGACATCAGCAGAATGACGGCACAGCTCACGATGGAGGCAATCACTGCGACCTTAAATCCAAAAGTCTCATATTTTGATACGGCTGCAGGAAAGCAAACACAGAAGAATGTTTCTAAGGTCAACCCATGAATTTATCACTCACATTTTCATTAAAGCATGCCGAAACCTACCTGCTTCACAGTTCTGCTAATAACAGCTCAGTGAGGACTTTCACGTTAGTATGTGTCAAGATACCAGAGTATCTTGGCTTCAGCTTAGAGCTATGCAAGCTTCAAATTGGGCTATTTAAAAATCTCCTGTTTATAAGCTACTAATGAATTGTTCTCAAGTATTTCACCACTGCAATTAATTAAACACAATGCCTTTGGCGCTGCAGTAGCTAAAAAGCACAACTTTGTCGGCATATCAAATGCAGATGAGCTAGCAGACTCTTATGAGCAATTGTTAACAAGGACTGGAGCTGCAAAACCAAATGCTGATGGGGTAAATGCATTTAAAGAAGCCCTTTAGAGCAAGGACAGTTCCATATAATTACATCCTATTTGGCAGGCAGAGAACAACAGGTCTTCCTCTGTTTGGGGAAAGATGCAGGATGGAAGAAGGGACAGTATCTGCAGGGCTGAGTGATCACAGTGATCCGATGCTGGAAGTGAATTATCCAGACAAAAGGAGGAGGGGGAATGTGGTATGGCACAGCTAACGCAGATCTCTGCCAACTCATTTGGAGCACTAAGCACGCCTTGCTTCAAAATTCATCTAGTTCTTCCAACACCACGATGACCAGCATCAGAAATGGTTCAGCTGAGCACCACACAAAGCATTGTATGTCTGCAGCCTCTGAAGGGAAGGATTTCTCTCGTTTTTCTTTAATAGAATGTCTCAAATGAGAGATAAGAATAGCTGAGTTTGTGAGAGCGCGATAAGTGTCTAAAAGAGCCATCCATCTACTGACGATTTAAAATTACACAAGGTCTGAGACACAGACTGAGATTGAGACACAGACTGAAATTCTCAAAGCTCAGAGGTACCATATTTTGCTTGGGCCTACTTCTCGTCAAATTACTAATAACCTTATAGTAAATAAGAAGGAACACAGCATGAAAGGTAGTTAATGTTGTTGCCATTCAAACACGATTTGTCAATATGGTAACCTTCCCATGTGGCTGCCCACAGGCAACAACCTACAATTGTTCAAAAAATATCACTGTGTTTCTTTTACAGCAAAAATATCTTCAGAAAATAATGCCAGGAGATTAGAGGGTTTGCAAATATGCTTGCACATTAGTTGGTCATATCTACACATTTTCTAAAGAAGGGTACAGCCTGTAGCTACAGAGCCACCGTTATTCCAAGTGCAACACTACCAGGGCCAGTGACGTGAGATCAGGCATAAATTCGACAGAGTCTTTTCTGTGTCATGATAATGAATGATGTCAGAACACATATGAAGCGCAATTACAGTCAGTGGGGGCAACTTTGAAGGAAATTGAATTTGTCTTTTTCCTTGCACAGATGCCTAGAATTAATCCTAACGTTGTAGGAGATAGGCAGGGCAAAATAAACACAATGCAGCCCAAAGGACTGGGAATGGTTTGGAAAGAACCTTACGCTTGCAGGAGGGCACTCCGGCTGTCCACTGGGTACCGTTCCCTTTCCAAATGCAGGTGATGACGCCCGGTCCCTCCAGCTGGTGCTCGGCTGAGCACTGGAACGTTATCACCGTCCCCACGGCCGTGCCATTGCCATGAATGATCTGTAGCATGCCGAGCTGGGGAGGGAAGATGCGGTTGCACTGCCCTGCAGAACAAAAACAAAGCAAGACAATGCAGCGCCAGAGCCAAAAGCGAAGGTCCACTTAGTTTTATTGCGAACAGATTGTAAATCAGTCCAAGTTAATGGTCAAAACAAATAACAGACCTTGGGGTGGGTGATGCTGACTGCTCTGCCAAGTACCAGCCCAAGGCCAAACCCCCTTCAGTGCCATTCAACAGCTCCACTGCCCTGACCTCCGGCACAAAGCGGGGTTTTACTCATGTTGCAACATTATGTGCTTAGACTGGTACATATTAAACATTTTTGGGGAAAAAAAAAAAAAAGTCATTCTGTGAGTGGTGTGGTCTCCTACAGATTCCTGTCTTGTTGGACTTTGTGTGTCTAATAAAGTATTCAGGCTAGCATCTTCCATGCTGGGAGTATTCATTCCCCCATGCAAATTTTTCAAGATCTAATGGATTGATCACATATTTTAGCATGTCAGTCTACTTGGTAGCATCTTTTCAAGATCCTACAGAAACTTCCTATCTTTCAAGAGCACTGCACCTCTGTTAGTCTTGGCTGAAATGAGCCAGTGGGTTCAAAAGCCACAGGGAGGGGACAGACAGAGACATACACATACAGCACAACTACATTCAACTTATCTCCGTTTTCAAGTGACAAACTCTGCTTTATAGTATATCATCCAAAGTACATTGTTCTTCATTCAGCTTTTCTCTTTCTTTGTTGTTCTTTTTATTTCTTTGTTGTTCATACAGCTGTTCTTTGAGTCACAGAGCTCCTCTCTTGGCCACCTAATGTCAGCCACTAACTTTATACATTGAGTTTTACTGTCACAACACTCCTTGTTTCACACTCATTTTAAACACAAATTTTAATGATCAGTCATTAGGACAACACATAATATCCAGATACACTTCAAAGATAACAACAATAAATACATTTTCTGGTTTTGTACATGTGCGCTGAGAGAATCAGGAAACTGTTTTACATAATCTTTTTTTTTAACATTTACTAAATACCAGCACTGCTTCTGCCTCAGAGCCCAAGTTTCCTATCTTTCACTGGATTTCCAAATGACTGCAGAAGACTCAGAGGCAACTGTGTTGCAGTTGCAAGACCAGAGTTGCAAGCACTATTAAATTAAAAGGGGGAAAACATGCTTCCCATACTTACAAGCAAAAAGACGTGTAGAGTTTTAATAGCCTCCTTGACAGAATCACATGTTGATAGCAAATCTATTTTATTTTTAATACTAAAACTCCCCCCTGGTCATTAACTAATGTTAAGTTCCTGTGATCAAACCACAGCAGACAGGCTTACTACCTTTCTTAAATTTACACTCTTAAAAACCTCAGCCCCCTAGAAAACAAACCCAAAGAAATCTCAGCAAAAGACCAAACAAAAGCCACAGTGACAATTACAGGTCAAATCTACTAAGTAAACATGTACTGAGGACTAGCTTTTAAAAACATGCCTGTTTTAATTCCATGCAGATTATTTCTGTTTTGCCACTTCTTTCAGTCTCTTACTACAGCAGCAATTTGCCTCAATGAGAACAAATATCTTCTAGAGGGTCATCTCCCTTCATCTCTTGATCTTCCCTCCAACATCCCATTACTGGAACACATGGGATGTGTGCATCAGACAATCTTCCTCCTGACTCCAGAGCAGCCTTATGAGTCCAGGCTTTTCTTTTTACCTTAATCACTCAGAGACTTACCATGAAAACCCATTGTCCTAAGCTGCAAAATATCTACCTTTTTGCATTTTGCACTTTCAAGGCTATTTTTAGATACCAGATCACATACTCAGAGTTCACATCAGTGACACTTTTAGCTGCATGAGATGCAGAAAGTAATTCAGAGCCAACCTTGATTCAAAGTACATCTGCTTAGCCACTATTACAGCCCTCATGAGACACTTTCAGTTGACTTGCCAGTTTACCTGGACTTGTTATTTAGCCTCTGCTCTCCAAAGAACAGATCATTTGGCACTGGATCCTTTCTTTCAAGACATACTTCATTTAATCCAGCATTGACCATCCTGAATAATAAGTGCAGCTGTACCTGGTTCAGGTGCTCTTGACCCTTTCCCGCACTGTCCTTGCCCATGACAGTATATGCTGAGTGATTAGAACCTCTGAATGTCAGTGACCTTGTCAGCATTATTCCTCAGCTGTGGATTTTAAAATATTTTTCTTCACTTGAGCACTACAAAGATTTCTAAGAGCCAGTGTACCATGAAAATATGGATATTTCCTCACTTTGGCCGGGGCTCTGACAGCATTATGTCATCTCCAGAGCATCATTCCCGTATGAATGTAATTGGGGCAGGAACCCCAGAGGTTCATCTTAATGACAGCTAATGAGAGCTAAACTTTTGAAAGCCTCTATGCCTGGCTTTCCACAGATCCTGAGCTGAAAGTTCATCCACTGCATTTCATGTACCTGCATTTGGCCAGAATAGAAATACCATTTCTTCTTCCTCTTCTTCTAAGGGCTTTTCAACACAATTTCTTCCCACTGAAGTAAAAACAATAAATGTGTCACTACTTCTTGCTTTTTACAAATGCTTTTATTGAAATGCATAGATGGATTTTTGCTGGTATGACTTTGTGAATTTCATCCAAGTTCGGATTTACTGTCTCTGGATAAAATTTGCCCTAATTTTCATCAGCAATGGTCTTCTAGTAACTCACTTGTAAAATGTCTCCTGTAAGCTCTAGCATCCTTTGCTATTAACTATCTATAATGTTTTTGCGGTTACTTGTTGCAATCAGTTTTCTACTAGGTTAATTTTACCCTTCCATCTCCAGAAAATCATTGTTTAGATAAGCTTCCATCCTCATATTTATATAAGCAGATGTTCCATATAGACTTATCCTTTGAATACTCTTCAGGCATGTCTACCTGACTAGATCTACTACAATCAAGAATCTTTTTTTTTTCAAATATAATATTTTATATTTTTGTTTTCAGCTGAGGCTGGTGTTTGAGGCTGCATTGCCTCCTGAAGTAAAACACAAATACTGCATAAACATTTGTGCTGATGAGATTTACATCTTGATTTATATTTCTTTTCTGAATATCTAGAAAATATCACATTCAGGTCTTGGTTTAAACTTGGTTTTAACAGTAACTGTTAGCACCCCGAAATGTAAAATTGAATAAAAACCCCAATTATTGCTCACGTAGCTTTTGTAATAGCTGCATTTCAAACCCTACAGATTCATGCCTGAGAGCCAGCACCTAAAGCTAGGAGGAATGCTTGAGGAACTAACAGCCTATCAGCCATTTCTACATAGTTTGCAATAAACATGAAAACTCATTATGTGTTGTTTAGCTTTGATCAGCTTCATGGCATCGTTCCTAGACTTGATACATGTCTCCAGCGCCTAGTTCACATTACTCCTCACTGCTGTTCTCCACTCCTAGGCTCATGCTCTGCTTACACTTCCAGATACTGACTACTACTTCCAAGCTCAAGAAGAAAACTCACTTGGTGATACATCCCTATGAAGCAAAGGCTGGAAATAATTTTTTTTTTTTTTTGAAGTCCAACAGAAGTTGTGAGGACTCTAGCTTGCTCATCTTACTCATTGAAAAGGATTAACAAACCACCCTGTCCTCTCTGCATACCATGCCAATGTATAGCATCAGCTCTGGTGAACTGAGATGACCATCAGCCATCAGCTGGCCAGTTTGCTTCAGGGCACAAAGAGCCAAACACCTTCAAGTTCCTGCAGCTACTTCTGCAGCCTCTTGTAAAGCAAGAGCTGATTTATACAAATGCATTTCTTAGCTTGGCTTCACACTAAGAGGATATCCAGTGTTCAAAAAGTATCTGAATCTGCTGCTACTGTCTGCCAAGACAGAAGAAGGGCATTGGCTACAGCAAATAAACAGATTATTTCGTATGACAAATAATGATCCTCAAAGTAAAGACACTAAAGTGTAGCATACTCCATAAATTCTTAATTCACCCAAACCTCTGTGTTCAGAAATAGCCACATACATAATTTCCAGCCACTAAAAAATAAAGAGTAATGCAAGAATTAAGAGAAAATAGTCCAAAATATCTCTTCTCATGCATAGCCAGGATTATCTGTATTGCAAAATCGATTTGTCAGAATGAGTTACCATATGGTTTCATTGTCAGCAAGCTGCAGATTTATGTTTTGCTGATAAGACAACAGAAATGAGAGAGCAGCCTAGGCATGCTTGCCCATTAAACATTTCCTGTGCTCCTTGCATAGCGAAACATAGACACTAAAAATCAAATACATCGCATAAGTATACACCAAAATGATCTAAAACACACCAATAATTACCTGAAAGCATGTTATCAAGATTGCCACTTGCTGTTTGTGGAGAAAGGGAGCAATCCATGACTTCACCTCATTGTTGCCCATACACACATAACTCAAGCCTTTGCATTGCTTATTGCTGACTATTTAATGCAAGTAAAACACACTGGAATAACCAGATGTCAGAAAGAGACAGAACATTAGGTTCTACAAACCCTGCAGAAAAGAAACATTCTGATTATTTCTGTAAGTCTGTTTTCCTACAGAAGCACGCCTTAGAAATTATGTCCCTGAAGTCACAGGCATAATGTTGAACATCCACAGAAGAGCTCTTGGAAGAGCTCGCTCTGTCAAAAAGCAAAAGAAAAGCAGCTAGAAGTGAAATATGAAATAAAGTAGATGTAGTAAAGCATCTTGTGTGAGTGAAACTGCCTGGCCCTGGCATCGTTCCCCTCGCAACCTTGCCTTCGCTCCCTCGCAGAGCTGGCCACGAGTCCTGCCAGGACCGAGCTCTTAATTGCATGAAGTGCTGCAACAACAAATGGCTGCAGGAGCAGCTTATCCTCCCACTAGAAAACTCAGACACTGGCACGGCTTTTTAATAAATTAGTGTTAAACATGACTACCACCCCAGCAGTAAATGAGATGGGGGGAGGTCCAGGCTTTTGAAGCTGCAGAGCTTGAACAAGGTCCCCAGCTGTGCCGCAGCCCCCGG